CGAACTCGCACCCCACGCACGCGTTACGCGTAACGGATAGCGCACTCGCCCAGAAGAGCGTGGGTGCGTGAGGTGCGGGTTCGACTCCCGCCTGGGGCACGACTTTTGCCCATAACTCAGCATTCTTGTGATAACTTTCGGAACGCGAACTGCGGCGTAAACAGCAGTTATCATAACAAAAAGGTTTCACCAGGATTTTCGCCCCAAACACCAGCCCGGAGGTGCAAAGTTCAGGTTGTAGTCCTGAGCAGGCTTACGTCAGGTTCAGATTTGAGTCTTGGTCAGGGTCAGTCTTTTCCGCATTCCTGTGATTAGAAGCCATCTCGCTTTCCAGTTCTCTAGACTAATGTGCAACGATTCCTCGTACGCTGCCGTGGGCTCAGAGCGAAAGGGTAGATGGCGACAGACAGGTAGAAAAACTGAGAAAACTCCAGAATTATCGCAAATGGTAGGGGGTGTCAGTGGTGCAAATTCGTACCTCCTCACACCTAGAAAAATTTGAAACCACGAAATCTTCCTGTTAATTATAGTTGATGAACCAGGAATAATCAACTGGCAATATCCTTAGGAGCGCGTAAAACCATTGCAGTGGGGTGGGGGAATCACGCTCCTCTTCCCTCACCTACCGTCAAGCCTACGGGTGTGTGACATGACAATCGCAATGTGACGCGCTGCCAATGGCGAGCGACGCCGCGTACGCGAGAGGCGAATTGTCGGGCCCATCGTTGTTGGAGAATCCCCAATGGGGGGGGGGATTCTCCAACAGGAGAGGAGGCGCCGTATTTGGGCTGGGAAAAATTTATTTTAATAGTTGATTTTTCTCGCTTCACTGGGTTGACTTTTGGTGATTTTCCTGTTTCACATGTGCTATTTACCCCCCCCCCCCCTACGCCGCTCGACGGCTCGATTCGATGAGGAGGAACAGAGGGAACGGAGGGCGGGCGTCCGTACGCTCGACAGCCTCGACTGAAACCCAACCCAATGATGTGCTCGTCATTACCCATATATACAAATTGTGGGGTGTGAGGCTACTTCGGAGACCACATTTAACCAGGGCCCAACATTGGAATTGTGTATCTTATTTTGTTATTGTGACTGATTGTTTGGGTCTATTCTGTTTACAAATTCTTGTCCTTTTTTATCAATATATCTAGCTGGGAATTGCCTAAATTCTCGTATTTCGCATCTTCTGGCCATATTTTCTCATTTTGGTTTTATTATGAGAACATCACAGAAAATCACACCTTCGTCCAGTGTTATCGTCATAGAAGAGGCTTTTGCGCTTCTTATGGTTGGGAGCAGTGCGGAGAATCCAGCTTGAAGGAAGCTGGTCTCTCGAGACATAGAGTACATAGGCAGAGAAGGCAGGGGGGGGCGTCGGGCGAAGGGTTGTAGGCGCTAACCCCGGTCAGCGGGAGGCACACACCATGCATCGAGTACCCCTTCCAAAATAGTGAGGCTTTGAGCCACAGACGACTTAGAGGTAGTTCAGCGAGGAGGCATGTGTCTCCCTGATGCCTGAAGCCTCGATTGGGGATAAGGATAAAGGCAGCGTAGCAGTGGTACTTTCTTCCCCCCCCCCCCCCCGACCCTCCGCCCTCAAATACGTCGGCGTTGGGCTTTAATGTCCTTCGCTCTATAGCACTTTCATTTCTTTCGCCAATGAAGCGTAACCAAAAGCTGCGAGAAAACAAACCCCAACGTTTCGGAACTGACTCACTCTTGCAATCGCTGGATTTCTTTACATCTTTTTTCTCGCCTGTGCTTTGCTATCATCAATGCGGAAGTTCCACTCGATTCACATCGCTCTCTTATCTCTTTTTGTGAGCAATCATTTTGCACTTTTTATCCAGTTGGTCCATCGCTGCAGCGAATTCTGTGCGCCTCTACAATCGATACTTCACCAGTTTCAGTGTTTCAGGCTATTAATCATCTACTATTTGTCGATGTTCCTCTATGACTGCTCAAGCTGTGCACACAAAGCACCGAAATGTGGCTGTGTATGTCACGGCGATGTAATTGGCGATCTTGCCAATTACATCGCCGTGACATACACAGCCACATTTTGTGCTTATGTCTTTGATTTTTACAGGTGTTGTGTCGTTTGGTGGGGGTCAGTACGAGCTGTGCGGAGTAAATGTTGCCAGTTGTGAGGGTCCGAAAAAAAATCATTATTGAAACTAAGTGATTTGCGGGAGTCACACGTATGGCCCGAGTTTATTTAGTCAACACGCTACGTAAAGGATCACGAAAGTGCAAAATGTCTCCCAACCGCCCCCCTCCCAAAAAGAACAAGCTTCTTTTCTATATATTTATAAATCCAATGTTTCGACGTTGTTCATCTCCGTTCGCATACAGTGAATTATCCACTGCTTCCGTGACATCATGCTCACAGTTCCATTTATCGTGTACATTCGCCGTGACATACACTCCTTGTTTCAAAGAAGGTTCGCTGCTATGTCATTTCACGCTATTCATTGCTTCAAGGCTTGTGTCGTTCACTTACTGTCGTTCACCTGGCCTTTAACGCCACATCAGCTCACCACATCTGCCAGTCTTGTAAAATAGATCGCCGTGACATACATTGCCACTTTTATGGGATAAAAGCATCGTGTAACTACTTAGTGGAAACACTTTTTTAACACTAGCAAAGCAAAATTCACTGTGTTTACGATATGCGGAGTCCGGTTCAGTGAGGGTTACCAGTGTACGCGCCAGAACTTCTAAAGGTCAATTTGTAAAGACCTATAAATCACTTTAGCTGAAGTAGCTCGCTTGTAATATTTTACATCTTCAAGGGTTTAAGGATTTCAGCAGAGATCTGTTAGCTAACATATAGTAGCAAAGGGGATTAGCGGAAGTGCAAAATGCCCCTCTCAGTCCGAACACCGCCCCATACATTCGTGGGAGCATCTGAATCGTCACTAAGGCTTCATGTCTTATCGTCGTGATCGTCGTGACATATGCAGGCAGTTTTTTTTGTACGACCCAAAACTTTATTACTCGTATGCAGTAGAAATACAAGAAGCTCAAACAGAAAAATAATGGTACCCCAGGCTTTCACATGATTATCTAGGCGGTTTCCGAAGCACTACATTATCCCACGTACATTGCCGTGACATACATTTCTGAATCGTAGTTCTTCAGAGAGGGGTAGTGGGGATTGTGTGTGACGTATCTGACCCTGATAGGAGTTTTTCCAAACCGCGATAAGATTTTTCGGGTCGCGGAATTTTAGCAATTTTTCCCGTTTCAAACGCGCTATATAATACCGCTCGACAGCGGGTTCTCGGTTATAAGTTGGGTAATTTTTTTCCGGAAAAATGGAAAGTGGTCAGGAGTTTCGAACATGGAATAGTTGTTAGGATGTAGAAGGGGGCCATAATAGTTGAGGTTAGGCGGGGAGGGGTCGCAGTCACATCGCCATTCCACTCAACACACCGTTGTATCCAGGCTAAGACGTCCCTATTGCTAACCGTTATTCTCCACGAATCGATGTTTACCACACCGACTTTGCTCTTAATATTCTAGACCGACCGGTTTCGTCAGTCTAAATGCATTGGGCTGATATTCAACATAATAAATAGCTCCACCCTACGCCCACAGTCTTCCGCTTGCCCCTGCACAATTGTTCCATTGGAAATCAATTTCATGTTTTACTTATTGGAATGACCCGGAGAGGTTCCCAACGAGCTCAATGCCCAAGAACTGGATTTTCTCGGAAGCACTCAAATCTCCTTCGTATGTTTCTGAATATATCGATGCTTACTGTCAGCACCACCCTCGCCAACCTGGGTCTGCTTGCCACCCTCACGGGTGCCTCGTCATTTTTTTGAGGTAGAGACTTTATTGCATTTCGAGGTACCCTTGGCGGTAGCTACACCGCAATCAGGGGCACCTGACTGCTGTCGCTGGGAAAATTTCAGCAAAAAAATACACCCCCCTTCAAACTTTCAACACCTTCGTGCAACGCTCTCCTCTTTCTATCATCTCCCAGAATTGGCAGTTGCTTTTTCGCACATTTCAGTCGATGTTTCACCTCAGGAAAGCAACCGAAGTATAGTATAGGCAACATTTAAAACAGGAAAAACCGAGGAAAGCCAACAAGCAAAAATCTTTTTAAAACGCTAGATATGGGTCCGCTCCCCCTCCAACAAGCAAAACGACTTTATAGCCCTCACCCCTCGCTGGGGATCCCTAGCGTATAACGTCTGCTGACCGCATTTGCAGGCAGACTCAATGTGCTGGGGAAAAGTGTCAAGCACCGAAATATCCAAGGGCATACCAGGTGCTGTTGGTTATCTTTTAAGACTCTGAAAACTTGTTTTGAATTGGGGACCGGGGGGGTGGTATTGGTGTTTCGTGTAGCACTTGAAGTTGGCTACATTCTCATGTGCTTCCGGGACAGCTCAATATCAAGGAGCTTTACCTTTTTATACAGTCCCTATTTTTGGGTCCGAGTAATCTCCTCAGAATGGCAGCTAGGTGAAAATATCGTCCAAACTCACGGCCAGCTCCTCTACAGATGTAGAAGATGCGGGCGCGCGCAGTTCGGCTTGGCGGGGGCATTTGCACACTCGCTATTTCCCGTCTACCTGTTCACTGCTTTGCAAGGGCGTTGTCAAGTAATCTCCTACGAACTTTAGCCAGTATGGATTTCAACGGTGCGTCCCACCCTTGTATGGCTCTGCCCACAATTCATGGGATAGAAGCGCGAAACGTCAAATGGCCACCACCACTCCCCTTATGCAAACCGAATTCATGCGCAGGCGTATTTTGTATTCCGCCGCTTTGGCCTGGAAACCGATGTTCTGGGCCAGAAACGCCGGTTCATCTGTTTGGCCCCGGATGCAGTTTTGTTGGAATTCGGCTAATTATACCTTCAGCACCTCGCTAATTACATACAGAAACCCATGAGGCTCCGGGACAGCGGAATATTGGGGCGCTCTACTTACATATAAAATTCCCTAGCTCTAGTCCAGCTGCCTAATCTTCTTCGAATGGTAGCTAGGTGAACTCACCGTGAAACTACGGCTCCTCACAGTATGATGATAAGGCTGCACAGTTTGGCCTGGGGGGGGTGGCATTTTGCAGTTTCTCTACTTACTATCGTCGTGTTTATTGCTTTACAAGAGTTGACAAGTAGTTTCTACAAATTTTGACTGGTATCACTTCACGGTTTTAGAAGAGTTCACATATCTCTACTTGATCGTCAAACAAAACAATGGGAAGCAGTGAAAATGCAGAATGCCCCTCCCTTTACTTAGTCGGAACTGCGCCAATACCTTTTCCTTTTCCCTTTGCTACCCGGTTCGGCCGGGAAAGCAACGTTCGGCTAGGGCCCAGTCTCATCTGGTTGGCACTGGGTACAATTTCATTGGAATTCGGCTAATTATACGTTTAGCACCTTGTTAATTACGTGTGTTTTCTCGCCGCATTGATCGCGTTGGTCGGTTTCCAAGGCAGCTATGGGGGTGGGGGAAATCCTTCAAGAACGTCGCGTTCTCACTATCAGAGTTGTTCCCTCATTACATGCCACTCCCTCCTCTATCCCTCGCCCCTCCCCTTTCCCAGGTGATTTCTGGTTTATGGTAGTAGTTTCAATAACATATTGACATTCACTATGGTAATACACTCCTGTGATAGATTGACATAACCTTCTACGATTGACAGTGGTCTTTTCGTGTTTCTCCCGGTGTGGCGTTTATATCGATTCTCCTTTTATGGCAACAGCGTCGAATCCATTTCAGTTCAAGTAACTAATGAGTTATGTTCGGCTTGGAGGGGGGGGGGTGGAGGGAGGGGACACTTTTGCTAGTTCCTTTTGCTAGTTCATATCAAATAACATCTTCTGGTGAAACCTGTAACCTTTCGTGAAGCGACGAAGTAGTACAACTGGGTTACTTCAGTTCTAGAGACTTACAGGTCTCCAGAAGAAGGGCTGCATAGGCTCCGCTGAACACATTTGGTGCCCGCCCCTCCTCACCTCTTGGGCCAGCACTCTCCAATTTGAGTAGAATGTCGTAGTTTTTGCCAGATCATTTATTTGGATTGCGAAAGAAGGTATCAAATGAATGGTAATTATTTAGATGACAAGGTATATGTATTAATAAATTTAATAGTCAGTGTGTGCGATTTCACAAAGCCACCATATTTAAGTTTATGCGCAAAATTTTGCGGCGTACTGGTATACGCCCAAAGCTATCAATCTCATGTAGGGTAGATAAAGCGGGTTTAAAATAACGGAAGAAAGTAATTAAGATGAGTTTTGAGTTGTAGTAGGTGCTCGTAAATAACTGTCAGAAGCCAGCGGCCGGTGTGAAAACCTCGCCCTTTTACAATTGATCAACCACTTTTGGAGTGCCGGCCGCAGTACCCTACTTCCATCAGCAACTTGCCCAGTCATATTTGATTGCTCAGCACATCCAGGGATCAGTGGGTATTAGGTCCTTGGTGCGTATGTCCTAGTGACTGAGGTGTCGGCCCAAAACGTTATGTTAATGCCCCCACAACCCCACAAAACACTGATGCCTCTTCTATCTGCGACTAACGCTGCGATGCCTCTGCAGTTCGAAGCTTATTCCCACTCTCACTCTTAAGTTACCGCTCTCTAAGTATTACAACAGTGTTGGAAATGGCAAAGACATTGACCTCAGGACGGGAGGGACACGAACTCTCTCCTCGATACCAAGATGTGCACAGCGTCAGCGTGGTCACCGCCGCTTGTGCTGTTGAACAAGTCAGCTATCAGAGGGGGCACCACCCAGGCTAGCCCCTACCAACCTACCAACTGGACAAATCTACGGGCAAATATTTCGGTAACCAAATTCGTTCCTACAGAAGCATCCTGAGAACGTTCACAACGAGTCAGGCAGTAGGAGAGTTTCCGGAAGTGTTGTGAATGCTTTTGGAGGCAGTAGCAGAATTAGCCTGCAGGGCGGTCGACATCGGTCCAGGACATGTCTTTTTCTGCTTATCTGCTCCCTTTTAGCGAGGTAGTGCTTAGCGGATGTCTAGAAGGGCCCGGACCATCGTAACATGAGCGTTGCTGGCTTATTAATCTGTCATACCGTACCTGACGACTTTCCAGTGCACTAGTCTTATCGCACTAAAAAGGTATTTATCACAGTAATGGTTCATTGCCAACAGTATAAGCTAGCCAGTGTACCCGTCCTTCATCCAGTTCATAGACGATATGGATTTGACGTTAAAGTTTACGCAGCTGTTTGAGCGTTTGCTACCGAGGAGGGTCTCTACCGAACACTAATCGATTTCCATTTTTTTTCTTAATCTTTTCCGTGCTGCTCACTAAATTGCTGTTTTTTTGCCGAATTCGTGCAACGCTTTGCAAATGCGCCCTTTCCGGAAATTCCATTCCCTTTCTTTAGTTAATCAATAATTTAGTCGGTGAACAATGTACAGTATTATTGATTTCCATGGCTATTAACAGTGTGGGTTCTCGATTCCTTTATGGCACTCCGGCCCCGCTGTGATCCTTTTATGATCTGACGTAGGTTTATAGGGGGGGGCATAATTGCAGTAATTACAGTAAACGTTTGCAAGTAGCGCTTATTGATAGCCGTCTGACCTTTAAGAGTACGATTGCGACGGTTAAACAAGGGCACTCGTTTTTTTTGTATGTGTTCAGCTGCTACAGTTCTTTGGAATCGATGAATTTCAATTATCGATCGATTGCTCGGGTAAGCACACTTGTCCTAGGTGATTTAATTACCGTAATGACTTCTGGAAAATCAATGTATCGATTCCCATCGTAAGTCACTTTTGAAGCGGATTCTTTGTGGGTGTCTTCATTCTTACCGAATTAATCATTACAATTATGCCCCCCCCCTCCCATACACCTACGTCAGATCATAAAAGGATCATTGCGGGACCTGTGTGTCATAGAGGAATCCAGCCTTCTGGAAAATCAATATATCGATTCCCATCTTGATGCACTCTCCTTGAAAGCGGATTGATTTAGGGTGGTTCTAACCGCTGAAGTGCCTTCTAAAAGATCGATATATTGATTCTCGGCCTAAAACACCTCAGCCTATTTTTACTCAGACGCTAAGACCGACTTTTTAGCACCGTTTGTTGACATTTTCGAGTTTTTTTATGGGCTGCTTTTTGGTTCTGCATAGAAATCAATCCCAGTAAGGACTCGCGTCCAAAACAGTACTCTACGTGGGCGTTTTAGTAGTAGTACTGGTGAGTAAGTCGTCGGCTGCCTGCTTGCACACACACTCTCACCCACCAACAACACCAGTCCCTTCTGATAAGGGCAGAATTATCGACACCCGTGGGAATTCCGGCGCCATATATTCGATTTCATTCGATATTTTACAGTTGATCGTGCTCAGTGTTTCCTTTCGTGCGCTCGTACTACCCTTCGTTATCTGTTAGTATTGATCGTTATCGATTTCCGATTTCAGATCGCCTTTTACTAACATACCTAATCAAGTGAATGGTCTAACCTATTCTCAGTACTCGATTCAATACTCACATGAAGGTCGTTCCAGTTCCTGACATAAAAGTTAGTGTAGCAGAAGTATGTGAGGTGAGTGATGCTGCGGTCTATTCTTATTTATTTATTATTGCTATTATATTGATTTTTTGTTTATTGACTCAGTTGCGCCATGAGATGCTCCCCTCTGCTCATGGAGAATTTCATAAAAAATATGATACAATGATAAAAAAATATGATAAAAAGCGTCCGCACGCTGATAGCCTTCGAGGTGGGGGGGGGACTGCTCAAAGGACTCCGCGTGCAAAACTGGGAGTAACGTCAACCGAGTGAAACTGCCATACTTCAGTTGTATTCTCCCACGCTGAGCTCCTTCCCCATCCTTCAAGCCTGGGCAAATGCCCTTATCTCCATTGCGACATCCTAGTTTTGCACAAGAAGTCTTTTGAGTTACGCCCTCTCCCCAACCCGAGCCGAAAACCGCTTTGTCTGTTTATCTGCTTGGAAATTCAGCAACGCCGTAGGAGCACAGGGAAAGGCCGAGAAGTTTGGGATGGGTTTACATAGGCCAGGATCCTCAGAGCACACATAGGCCTAGCGAAGCCTTGCCTACGGTGGGCGGGGTGTGATTTTTGCCGCTTGTAACCCGCAGCAGATGTCCTGGGATAGCTCCGATAGCCGCAGTCTATGCTAATCGTGTGGAGAGATTGCCCAACAGTTGTTTTCACTTGGAATGGCACCCTCCACCATACCATGCAGGGTAATAGGCGTGCCCATGAAAAGGCACAATGGTTGACTGTTTCCGCCCACACGATCTGCGTGGGTGAACCCAGCCCAAAGTCACGCTTTCCTCTTTCACTAATTCTTCTGCAGTTGCTCCCGAAGTTATGGTTGTGTTTCGATTTTGTTTCGTAATTTTATGGCGCCTGTGAGGTTTCAATACACTTTATGGCCCGTAAACGGAGCCTCACCGAGATCGCAATACGAATGCTTTATTTGGCATCGAACGCGCGACCTAACCGTGCCGTCGCGGGTCTAACTCTGCCTAATTCGCCGCAGCTACGTAAATGAGCGCTGTAAGTCAAAAGTGGGGGAGTCATTAAAGCCGATTCAATCTCTTGAAGAACCTCCTTTGGCCAAACCGGCAGCTCGGTGGCCAGTAGCCCGCGCGCTTCTTGTGTGTCGTCCAACCGAAGGAGCCAGGGCTTCTAGATAACGCATGATGTCGTGGTGCAATGGGGCTCTGTTCCAGGTGCAGATAAGCTGCTGGCGGCAGTCAGCTGTCCCAATTTTGCCCTTTTTTCTAACGCCGGTATTTCACAAGAGGCATGGAAGTAGCCCGCATGCGTCCTTTCGAGCGTCCTGACCACTCCGTAAGGGACTTCATCGTCCGGAGGGATGCGAACTCTGTATTTTTCAAAAATGGGCCCGAGCATTTTTAACAATGTGCTTAAATCAGAAAACAAACTACTACCCTTATCCCCCTCTCCAAAAGGTTCATTTATGGATTTTTCAAGCAGTCTTTTTATTCTTTACGGCTCTCTAAATGTGATTACACAATATAATTCGTGTATTGACGTTTAGGTTACGCCGGCTCTGGCTTGGAGCTCGATGGAAGCTGACTGCTCGTTTCGCGCCGCGCGGCAGCGGAAGTTTTACCACCATGCCCTCGAGGGACCGTTTTCGATACTGAAAATGTCTTCATAAATAGTAAAGGAGGTGTAGAGGTGAGTTCAGTAGGCAGTAGGTAATAAGCTTAATTCACTGTGCGCAGGGCTTCGGTGGACGGGGGGCATTTTCGCTGGGCATCACTACCGATGTTCCTGAGAACCTTTAAACTTCCTAAAAAGCATGACAGTAGGAGAGGCTTCATTTACGAAACTGGCAGGTCTTCCGAGTGTCAGACGAGGTAACAGGACTATTTCAAAAAAAATTACGTGAAGAGTGTACTGCCTCCAAGCCAAACATCGCCCTCGTTGCCTACATGATCACATTTTTTGGTCTGGCAGTTGCATAATGAAGCTCATTCAGATCAGAACGGTGCCCCAGATATCTGTCAACCCGTGTTTTGTCCCTCCAGAATGGTCAAAAAACGAGGAGGATCGGGCGGCTGCACGCTCTACTTGGTATTTGGGCGCTGCTGTTCGTGAGATTCTTTGCGCACTCGTTCCTGTTCGCCCATGTACTTGTCAGGGTTACGTTATACTTTCGCTGCTCGGAGGCTCTACTTTCTAATCGCTTGGGACCGCTGGCAGTCGGTAATCGTAACCACACTTTGAGATGAACCCGTATTCCGTAAGTTGCGGGTAGTAAAACGATCAGCCTTCGGAGCACCCTTCGCCACCGTTGCGCGAATGATTCGCTCGAATAGCGAAGTATAAATGCGACATCAGCATTTTCAGCCCCGATTTACTAACATTGACTATATTTCAGTTCTGGAGCAGGCAGCGGAGCTGAACATGCTAGCAGCATCGTGGATTTATCTCGCTTGTGAATATCTCATCGGTTTGGCATGATGAGTACGGCGACAAGGCCTACAGCTCATCGAATGGGTCAAATGGCAAAGTGAGTCGTTCATGTTTTCTTCCTTTTGCAGCTCTAAAGCCCTATCACTGAAGTTTTTGCGGGTTTGCAGTGAACGTCGATTGATAGTTTTGACGCTTGTGCATGGACGGCTGCATCCGCACGGGTGTCCGTAAATTGACAGAGCCCAGGACCAGTCTTACGCTCCTTATATCCTGTCGGTTTCTTTCTGCCTTCGAAGAGAGCCTGATTAACGTCAGAACCTAATCAGTCGTCTCACCAGTTATTAGGTGCTCGCTTTTCTCTCTATCTCGCTACTGATCTAGCTGACAACTTGTGTTTTTGGAAGATGAGAAGAAACGCGCCAATATATCCTTTGACTATTTCTAGAGCGGTCCAGACTGTTAACTTAATTCAAAAGAGCTCCTGCTTTGATAATGGCCATAGCTATCCGGGCACAGTTAGTGCTTCACTCGCTCATCAGTGGCTGGTCATTAGAAGCTCGTCCAGGTTGCTTTGTCCATACTTCTGCCGCTACCAGTGCTTTATTCCATTCACTAACCACACAAAAGATGTTAAAGGCATCGCCACCTTCTGCACCATTGCCCAAGACAGTACAGTTTCTGGAGTCGGTCCACATAATCGCCACAGTACCGATGGTCCCAAGCTAGTTAAGTTGCGAGACGTTGCGACAACTTGTAGGTTTGATAGAGGCGCTATTTAGAGTGTAAGGAAGAGTGTAATGGATACCTTCGTTTAATAGCAGCTTTTCCGGCGTCGAAAAGGCATAACGAGTTGCTTTAAATGGCACCAATTATGTAAAACATTTGTTTCAGGAATCAACTTCGCGGGCGTGATGCAAAAGTTTGTCTGATCACGATCTATGAAGAAATCATGGGTGATGAGGAGGCATCCACATTCAAGTGTTTGTGGTAGGTACCTATGTTGAAGTAATGGCAGGCCTGCTCCGCCCACATGACCCAAACCAAAAGTTGGAGGGGGGCAATTAGCTCCCATTTCCTTTGATGGCGAGTCCATCTTTTGAGCTCTCAATCCAGCGGTGCGCATTATCAGGATCAGATCCAGAGCAAACTCTTATACCCGAGAATTTCTTGCGTCTTTTGGAATAAGCAGGCCTCAGATGTTCCTTTTTCCTTAGTTTGTCCTTCTTCTTTTTTTTTTGCCTTTTCTCATGCGCGGTTGGGGTGGGAACAGAAGCTGACTTATCCGTTCTGTTTTGACGTTTCTGCCTTACATTGAGCATGGACGGTGTTACCTTGAATCCGCGAGTAACTCGAATATACGTTGAAATGGGGCAGGACTCGCCAACCACTGATGTTTTACCTCAATTGGTGCTCGTCCTTTTCGTAGACGTGCTAATTTGTATACAACCACAGTTCTTGAGAGGCGCAGTGCATGTTAAGGTCTCCGCGCCCATCGTTAGTAGTAATTTGTCTGTTGTTAAACTTGCCTTGACATTCCTTTCCTCCAGCTTCGGAGCTCGCCGCAAAATCCTCCAAAATTGCGCCATCTAAGAAATTCTGGAAACTTTATGACAATGGATTCGCATTTTTATCCTTGCGATGGCTTGATTTTTCGATGGAATTTGAAGATGAAGATATATTGACGAGCTCTACTGGGCAATCCCCACATCGTTCTCAAATGCTCCAATGGCAGTTGCCTCCGACCTGTGATGGTGTACGAAACTCATCGGCAACCGCTCTGTCAAGAAAGCTGTCGATTATTTCGACGAAGACGATGAAATGGAGTCCAGAGGTAGTTTCCGTGGTTGTTCCATCGAAATCCACTCGTGAAATGACTGGGTAAAAGAGTGGAGACTTGCTTCAGGGCATTCTGCTTCAACTTCTTCCCGGCTTCTCAGCACCCCACAAAGATTCTTTCCGACATTCTTTGTCGATCACCCGAAATGTGATTCCGACAAGAAGGCGGTAAAGTTATTCCTGAATCACTACTTAATCAGCTTTTAGCGCACTTCGGCTCAGGAGGAGCATTATCCACTTTCTCTACTTCCCAGTGCAAGCTATCAATTAGAGATCTGTGAATGCAGTAATGTCAGTCGAACGAATTGAAATAGCTTTCTTGTCACACTCCTGTAAAGCAAGAACACGACAGTGGGAAGAAGCGAAAGTGCAATGCCCCTCCTCAACCGAACAGCGCCCAGCTCTTTTGTTTATTTATCTATATGATTGTTGTCTTCACTGATTTTTTATCTGAATTTGCTTTTTTTCATTCTAAAGGCGCTTCCACGATTACCGCCATGGCTGCGGGTTGCTTCAGTACCATCTGCTCAGACAAGAACACTCAATTATGTATAAGCCTTTTTTGGGGGGCGGGAAGGGGCTAAGGGGGCCTCTTACTGGAGCCTTTCGAAATCAGAATCGGAGAGATTCAGCTTACGTTTCGTATCTTCGCCTTCTTCGCCCTTATTACGCTCTCTCCGCGCTATTAATAATCCAGCTACTTGGACTGGGACATGAACTGAAGGTTATTTGACTGCCCACTAGGATATGCCATGCCATTCATCTTCAATCGGGAGATTTGCAGTTTGCAGGCTTACATTTTGTTGATCTGAGCAAAGCGAGTGACTGTGACCTGACGGCAAATTGCTGGGTCTGGACAATAAGGCCTATCAACAAAGCATTCTTTGGGTTAAGAATGGACAGGCCATCAATTGGGCGGAGACAGTCAACAATCATGTGCTCCTCATTGGTACGTATCTCTTCCAGAAAGAAGGGTGCCCCAAGAGGATAGCGCAGTGGTTGGCGGTTTCCATCCATGTCCCTGCCCCTGAGATCGGGCATAAAACTTATGTTTTGGAAAAGAGGATGCACATTGGCCGGGCCAAAAATTTACCCGACTCTGCTCTCCAAGGGCCACTTGCTTACCTCCGAATAAGTCAATCCGCTGGCGATTCGGGTCAAGCGCAGTTCCAAGTTTGTAGGGAAGTGTTTGAAATTGTTTGGTCTGAACATCGGGCTGACTCCGTATACGTTACTGCAGAAGCAGGTCCAGGCAGTACGCAGTTGCCGGATGGGAGTGGGGGAGCGGGGGTGGGAGGAGGGGAAGCATTTAGCACTTTTGCTACTTTCCATTGACGTGTCGAGCCGTCAAGTAGAAATTTGTGGAATCCTGTCAAGCCACGAACAGTCAGAGTTTGTGGGAATTACTGGTCAATTTTTGTAGCGAATACCTGTCGACACTTGTAAACCAGTGTGACGATGAAAGCAGCGGAAGTGCTTCCCCCCTCCCAAGCCAAACTGCGCCGTTGTTCTTACCGGGAGGGAATCAAAACCATGGTGTATTTTCATGAAAGATTCAATGCTAGCAGCTCAATCCAATGTTGTGGTGACTTTGGCTCGATAGTTTTTTTTCAGATGAACCTCGTACCTCGACCCCGCCCTCCTCTTCAACTGCTCATGAATCGCTTGGCAATTTGGGTAGTCCAATAGTGAGCGATTCTCACATGAATGAGACCTACATCGAAGAACACACGATAGATCTCGACGTATCATTTGATAAGTGAGTTTGTCCTATTTTTGTGGTGTTTTTTAGCGATCGTTAGTCGTGATAAAGTGTTCTCCGTGAATGTTTATTTATTGTAGACCTTCCGATCGGAACGTTGGTAATTCATCGAAAGTGCTGCAAGATAAACGATCGCAAGGAGGGGTAACGAAAACGATCACGCCATTTGATGACGATGAGGATGAACCTGATAATTCGATGCCTCGACGAGATTCGTTGGAGAACAAGGTAGGGGACAATTCCTAGCTGGACCCGTTCGGCTTGGAAGGGGCATTTTGCACTTTCGCTAGTTCTTGTTGGATTACGTCTCTTCTTGATAAGACTTGTGGTCTCTTGTTAAGTGAAAACAAGCTCATGCTACTTAGAGTTCGATTTACGAGTTGTTCCAGGATTTCACGAGAGGCATCGGCAGTGACCGATAAGAACCGGCGAAATGCCCCACCAAGCCGACCCACACCTCCATCTATACCCATGATTTCCTTCTCAAAAACAGCTGGCGAAACTCAGGACTTAGAGGAAGTGATACCCGTCAGGGCAGGCCGTACGCCTTCGCTCTGGGGCCAATATTCTGCTATCGTGCACCGGAGGACGCAGGAGAACGGCGAATTGCGGCATGTCCGCGACGAAATCAGCGCTGCAAAAGGCAGCGCGTGCGCGGCATTTGCACCAGAACGCTTATTGATACGACGTGCATGCTTTTCACCTAACTTACTTACTAAGCAGCTAACAGTAAGAAATAAGGTGCCGTCCGAGAATTCTGGCGAGTGTGGCATATGATCACGCCCTTGTCTAAAAATTTTTGCAAGGTACGATCTTTTCCAAATTTCTTTCCATCTCCATGCCCAACTTCCTAGTCTTCCAAAAATGCAACCACACTTCCCACCTAAAAAACTAGGGGATTTTTTCCCACTTTTCACCTGAAAAAAACTGATGTCGTGCGGGGGAGGTGGGGGGGGGAAGGGTCGTCAATCCACTCTTAAAATCAACTCACAAAAAGAGCAGTTGTACAGCCATTATGCCTTCTTCTTGCGGCACCACCTACCAGGGGAGTGGGGCAGGTGTACTGTCACCTCCGTGGATCCTGGCATTTGCCACGTGCGAAGTGAATAGGTAAATTTACAGCTGCAGTAGCCAACCTCCGCTCCGTTCCCATGCACTTGCGGCACGGAAACGGAGCGGAGGTTAGCGGTACACAAGTGCCATCTCCATACTACGCCACGCGACGTGCCACTGCCAGGCCCACGCCTAACCATAGCCAAACGCGCTACTTGTCTGTGCCGTCCCGCATTCAGTTGATCTCAAGAGCTGAGTGCATGTTCCGTCCGCTACCTTAGTATCATCATATCACACCTCGCCATATCATACTTTTCCAGTCTGGATCTGAGAAAAAGGAGAAGATAAGGAAAAAACTACCGAACATGGAATCCATACTGGGTACGTCTACAGAATCCGACGGTGCCGGTGGTGAATATCGCAGGCCGAAACCTCCTCAACCAAAGCATGCACCACTACTTCACAAGTTCGTTTTCCTCCTTTTCTTCCCCGTGCACGTTCTTCTCTTTCTAAAACATTTTTTTAGATTTTCATCATCTGATGAAGAAATCGTGCAAGCTCGTTTCGATGACGACGATGAACCGCCTGTTCCACCTCGACGAAGGAGCTATTTCGATGAAATAGGTGGGTCCCGTGGTCATTCCTGGTTTTCTTATGCGTCTCTATCCTACAGCAGAAAAAGTTATTGAGCTTTTTTTCCAGTGGCTGAAAGAAACGAGAAACCTTCGCAATCTGAAATGGATACCGCCTGGAAACGACCGAATCATCCAGATCACAACGAAACCGTTCACAGTACGATGAGCTCACCTCCTGGCACATCACAGGCTGAAGGTAAGGGGGAGTAAACCGCTTGGCGATCGCTCGAGAGCGCCTGCATTTATGCCCTCTCTTTGATATTAATGAACCAGGCTACCTGATGAGTTATCCAAAGAGAAGGCGTCAGGGACGCTGTTGGGCTTGGGTAAGGTGCCACAAGCGCCTCCTGTATGAGCTGGACCCCATACAATGGATGGGCGGGGCGTGTACCGAAATGTTCGTGGCCTAGCCAAGAACCTTAGACTCCGTTCAGATCATTGCTTACAACGCACACTGATGCTTCCCAAGCGCACAAACTCGAAATCAAATCCCGGATAAAATCTCTTTCAGCCCAGCAAGGGTTTTCACCCGAAGCACATCATTGCGTTCAGAAAGCTTTGCTGAATGCGCCCCTCCCCTCTCTCTCAAATGTTTTCGTCCAGTGCGGCCTCCATTTACAATCTACCTACCATCGTGACAAATTCTTGCCAAAGTTTCCGAAAATTTTGCTGCTGCGGCGTAACTGGCTGCTGTGAGGGGGCACCTGCCGCACGCCAATGTCTTACAGGCGGGAAGGTCCCCACACTATTACGGTAGTTGTCTCGAAAGTCGCTTCGCGTTTTGTGACTTCTATTTACACTGCACTGCTGCATAAAAAACTCATTTGGCCGTTGCTTCTCGTAGCCATCTTTCAGAGGAATTTCTGCGCTACTCTTGACGGTATGATGGGCCGTTCACCATTTGCTTGCATAAGGCCCTTTCTTTCAGTATGTTTTTCAAGTATGGGAAAGCAGCACTTCGGACGCTCAATTTTTTTCTTCGGCTATAATTTGGTGCGGCAATCCGCCAAGTCGGAAACAGCTCACAATTAACCAGGTTGGAGGCCCCAGATGTGCTTGGGAGGCAACCCTGTCGCTGGCAAATGGTTCAACAAATTCCGATCTGGAAATTTCGAAGCCTTAAGAAGAACTCATACGCGTCAACCTAAGCAAAACTGTACGAGGAGTGTAGGGGATTTTGTGCAGGCTGACCATCCCAAGCATGTTCGTGACGAGATAGCAGGGCGCCAGCTATTAGGCCACAATCCACGTTGCAGCATGCTCTGAACGCTATTTGGGAAGGTGAAAAAAACTCGACCCGTATTGAGGGTGCCCACAATCGGAGTGACCGGACAGATCGGCACGTCTACGAGGTTCCTCCGTGCCATTGCGTACTTGCGCTCCAGCAGACCGACCCTTTTTTCTGTGGCGAATTTGTCGAGCGTCATTGACTGTGATGAAAAATATGGTCATTTATGATACAGAGAGCCTGTCCGGACAGGTGGTTGGATTTCGGACGAAACTACGAAGGGAACTTTGTCAAAGGCCGAACACCTCCGAAAAAAAAAAAGATTTGGTCGGCGGCACTTGCGGTGGTCATCGGGGCGGGTTGTGATCCACGTATAAATTTTTTTCACCAGGCCAAAACAATCGCGCCAGAACCTTACTGGTGAAGAAATCGACGACATGTGTTCACCCGAAAGTATTTTGTCGAGATTGCAGGCCAACACTTGTCAAAGAGGAAAGGTCCGATTCATTGACGATTGGCAAGCTCAGTCCACACGTTTCACAAATCACTATCCTTAAATTGAACGAAGTTTGCGGAATTTTGAAGGTCTACCTTTAAACCGCCTAGATTCTCAGACTTTGATCAACGCGCTTATGAGGCTATGTTCTATACATTTTTTCAGAACCCTGTTGCTGGTGAGATATACTTGATTCAGTTCTCATGCGTGCGTAGTGAAGGCAACAAGAGCGTCTAAGGTGGAATGATTTTTCCGTGTCGTTAATCATTGTAGACGTTTTTGACTCCACCCAGTTTTTGTTACTCTCTTAGTTCTAGGTTATTTTGTCGTAGGTTATCTTATTTACCGTGGCTAGAAGCTGCTGATGAATCGAATGGTGTGCCTATTTCGAGTTATCCGTATGAATATTGAAAAGTTAACGTCGTGTTTTAAGGTGAAGACACCCAAAACGCTGATGTCGGACAACCTAATAATACGAACCTTCGTTGTGTTATGTACCCAGTTTCACTCAACGGTAGCTATTACCACTCACTACTCCGACTCGCGCCGCTTGGCTGATTCGTTGCAAGTCATTGTTTAGGCATAGTACATGGTAGACATTGTATGTTTGTGGGTAGATAAATAGAGTGCGTGCGCATTGCGAGCAAAGATTCATTCAATCAGGAATGTTACCTTGTGTTACTGATAGGCTGACCGTACTTGTGTACGAATGTTATAACCTAAGTGTGTGTAAATTATGTCTCGATGCAGGCGAAGCGGGGGGGCGGTCATCTGGGCACAGCCTCTAATTTGGAGGAACTTGTGTTGCGGGGCGATAATGTCAGAGAGGGGGCGTTTGCGTGTGAGATGCGGAAAGGGTCGCTTCGCGCTATCAGCGAATCTGTGATATAGCTGATGGTAATTCGAACAGGTGTCGACCAGCGGATTAAAGGCACACTTAGCGATAAGATTATTGAGGTCTTAGTACTCTCAAATGTGTCGGACCCGGATCGCGGTAAGCGGATTTGACGGTTTTCTGCGTTCTTGTCAAAGATGGATGAACGGGACAAGACTTCGCGTAAGAAGCTGGACTATTAGGCCGAAAATGAACATCGCATTAGGCCATGACGACCATCCCGGCTGCCAGCGACAGTAGTAGCCACTATGTTATTTTCTCTGTAAATTTTGCGAGCAATGCTTTTATCTGCTGCTTTCCTCGCTTAATTTACAGATACTTACACTTTTTTGGGCCAGTTGGAGTACGTTTCCCCGAATTGCTCGCGGTCTGGAACTGTTGCCTTTCAAGTGATATTAGAGTAGTATAGTAGCGGCAATGGTTCAATTGCGCACCTGGTTTATTTGAGCGACACAGTCTACCAGGTCTTAGTTCTCACTATCTCCGTTGTCGGTAACCCTGAACCTGTCATGGCAAATTTCCAGAATCGAACACTCTCATGCGCCAATCAAGGCGCAGACTTAACGCGCTTCCAAACGTAACTGCCCTTCAAAAGAGAAGTCGCGTACATGGCGTATCCCCAACGTTGTACCCGAACCTGAAACTAAGGTTACCAAGCTGAATATTCAGATTCTCTGCCGACAAAGGATGGTGCTGCGTCAAGGTTCCCTGATGATGACGATGCAGCCAGTGAACGTGAAGACCTGGACCGAACTCATGTGGATGCAGTGGTGATTACGGTATGTCAACATTATTTTCGCCAATTTTGCTCAAATTCTCGGTTTTTGGGGTAGCCAAAACAAGGCTCTCAGTTTCTGAGTGCTTTCGAGCATCTGCTTATTCGTTAGGCGTAACTGATTTTGTTTGCTTTCTCTGGACTTGACAGGCGCGGAAAGGTCCACTGCGCCTGGTGAAATTCGACGGCCCGTCTGTTTGCTTGAGCCTTCTTAGCGAGCTCTTTGGGAATCTTTGGATGAGACCTTCAAAGAATCCAGCCGGTATTTAGCAACTTGTTTCCTTGTTTCGTTCATGGGAGTCGATTGGAGCGCAGTCTAGGCTACCTTTTCCACCAGTGCGGTTCACGATGACGACAGTTCGTGGAAAGCTTGCCCTAGTTGCGCTCCATTCCGTGGAGCCCCACATCCTTCCTCCCTTCATCATTAGAGCGCGTCTTTCTCCTGTAGACTCTAAGAGCCAGTAAAGATTGTACAACGATCATAGGTGTCCGCCCATCGGTTACCGTGGAATATTCCCTGTTTCTTTGAAGCATTTAGCCAATTTTTTATTCCAGAAAAATCACCCTGAGTCTGCGAAATCTGCTCCGCAATTAACTGAAGACGAAACGCCAATAGAAACAGCTTTCGTGGACGCAATCCGGGAACGTCGACGAAGTAGCGTGCCTCCGATTGCCGATGGTATCCTAACTCCACCAACTCCACCGCCAACCACCCCTGCCCAATCTGGTGCCGTGAGAAAAGGTAAGGAGGCTCATCCTGCTCTACTTTTTGGTTCTTTTTTCCACTAGTTGCATTATCTTTCGTTTGGACGCACTGTACTTGAGGGCAAGGCCTGCGGCAGGGCTCCTCACTCTGAAGAATCCCCATCAGAGGGTCGTATTTAGTCGTTGGATGCTGGAGGGGATGAGCTTGAAAAAACCTCTAGTACGCGGATTTTTCGTGCTCTCAGCCGCGTTGATCGCATTGTTAAGAGAGTCCCATAAGGGGAGGGGGGTCGTATTTGCCCATCGCTTCGTGAGGAACGGAGGGAAGGGGCGGTCGTCGAGAAAATGTTCCTGATTGTTGAGTCTTCCCGCGTGTCAGTAAACGAAATTAGTTATTGTTTGATGCCAACCCGCCCCTCCCCTTCCGCTCGACGGCCAGTTTTTGAGGACAAAAAGTGGTAGGAACCTGAAAAAATTCAGAAAGAGGGTGGGTAATGTGGGGCATGGGAAGTGGAGGCGTGTCAGAGGGGTACATTGGAGGGAAGTAGTACCAGAAGAAGAAATTTTTTTTGGAGGGGGGAGTCGTACTTTGCAAAGAACTTCCCAGCGACAAAACGTACCCTAGTATGGAGTTTGCTCGTCTACCCTCTGCGAAAGCTAAGACTGTGCGAGGAAAGAGACCACAGTCTCAGTAAGAGGGCAGACGAGCAAGCTGAGTCGTGGTCGCCCCTCCCAACTACATCAGCGCCATCTTTTTAACTTCTAACGATTACACTTTTTCAAGATTCGCCTCATTTTGAACGACGAAATTCCCTGCTGCCAAATCAGATCACTGGACGGCAATCGCAGCGAAGTATGCGAGGGAAGAGGAAGGTCAGTTGGAACTTATATTTTTTACTTGTTTATTTGTTTATTTGTCTATTTACTTTTCATTTGAGTTGACCTTTTGAGTTCTTCTCGACCACACTTGTCCTTCTTTCAGACAAGAGCTGTGCCGGAGTTCTACGATCATTCGCGGCATCCGAGCATACGTCTTAAAGCCCCTAGTGCCAAGAAGGTAACCCTTAAGACACATTCCACGACTGTGGAATGGGCGGAAACTTTAAGAGTTGATTCACTTGGCATGGACGGCCCGGTCTTTGACGTACCAAATAGGAGAACACGGAAGACCATCTGGTTGCCCGTCTCCGCCCATTCGATTATCATGGAACCCCACCATATTTGTGGATCGCTTAGGCTGTTTATAAATGTACCCCAAGCCAAAATTTCATTTTATTATTGTTCAGAAGAAGATGACCCTGCTACGAGTGGAACAAGCCGATGTCCAAGTGGAACTGCTCAATGGTCAGCGTATTGAGGTGAGTTACGTGCAACCGAGCATTTTGGGAAGAAACAGGAACTGATAAGGGACATATCGGAGGAATTTCGTTTACAATCAGTTCACCTGGTAACTGATAAGTCCCTGTGCAAATATGCTGAATCTGGGATTAAAAACGAAAGAGAGGCCAAATGGTGAACGCAGAATTGTTTCTTTTGATTTATGATAAGGAAATCAGAAGGTAGCCATGTGACGGCATGATGCCAACTATTGGCCTCTGGAACAGGCACACGGCCAGATTAGGGAACCTGCGGGAGGGGGGGGTCGTATTTTTAGCTCATGGACTTGATGAAAATCGTCGGCCACTCGACGTCTGCTAGGGGGAGGTTCCTACTTTCAGTGCGAAAGAAATTAGAATTTAATCGAATGAGCACAGGCTAGTACTCTTTTCGTGTAGAGATGAATCCCTCCGTTGAATGATTGCAATCTGCGGGGTCGTCTTGTAATTGTGCTGAGCCACAGCAGCGGTCGACGATTTTTTTTTACGAGTTCGGGTTCCAAGAGATGGGGGGGGTGTGTGAAGTAAGGAGGTGGCTTAAGGGTTGGACTCGCGTGGTCGCAGTCCGACGCAGTGGTCTTATAGTCTGAAGCAGAAGTAACAGGGGGCACATGAGGGCAAGGTCCTGTTAATTTTACTATTCAAGTCGAGATTGCATTCAAAGAATTACTGCCCGCCGCAAGCCAGCCAACTCCGCCTTATTGTTTTTTGTTTATGTTTCGCGAAATAGTGGTATAGAATCCTCGTCCAGTTTCAGAAGGAAAGAAGGCGACGTCGCTAACGTTGATGGGGGGGGGGAGAAGGGATCTCATCCATGCAAAAGCGACGCATATCATTAGGACTGGACAAACTCTTCTGTATGTCGTCAGGAAATAGTGGCAAAAAATAATAGCAAATGCTGTAGTGGGCGGTTTCATCTGGCCAGTGGCGGGGATATCTGTATTGCAGTAACGTTGACCACATTTCGTAGGAGAACATGCACGATGGCGCTGAAAAAGTTACAAGATGCGCGAATGCAAAAACTTCGTTGGAAATGTGGGCGGGGCTGTCGGGAACGGGGCGGGACTGATCGTAGATGCTCAGACGAAGGAGGAACCATCGAAACTTCTCGGATTGACTTAAGGTCCCTTTTAGGTATCGTGTCGCACGGATGCGGTAGCCCGTGACATCTTCTCATTGGTCGTCCAGCATATGAACATCAATGAACACGTATTTTTTGGGCTTAGCTTCATGAAAGGTATGGTGATTTTAATGCGTTTGTCTGGCTAATTTTTCTTGATTATTTGTTTTGATAAGAATTCGAAAATATTTGGATTTTCTTGTGTTCAGACGGAGAACACTTCTTCCTCGAAGATCATCAGCGACTCGAAAAATTTGCACCATCTGGCTGGAAACATGCTCAAAAGAATGGACTCGTCCGGGATCGAATTTCGTAACTCTGACCTTCGTTCGCGTTCTATGCCACAATGCTTGGGATTTCAATCAAGTGAGATTTTGGTTATATTGGGATCCAGTATTTATTTCTGGGGCACTTTCACTTCTGCTAGAGGCGTGGCGGAGACAGTTAGTCATTGCGCCTCGCCATTGGCTCCCTCCACTTTTTACTCTGTGCAGGCCAATAAGGACAGCATAATGGTCAACTGTCTCTGTCCATACTATCAATATGGGCGTCCTTTGAAAAGCCAGCTGTTCGTCAAGGATAACCCAGGGGGAAGATGGTAGGAGAATAAGTGGTTGTTCTTGTACCCAAGTCAAGAGGCTAAAACCAGGATCGTGTGTCGTCTAGGCTACGCACTTCTCCCTGTTTCATTTGATTCTCGCCAAACTTGACTTGGTTAACAAAAACAATGGCCCCTACCCTTGCTCTGCCCCTCCCCTCCCCTCTTTAGACCCAGTTCATTGTACAGGTGAAGTTCGCGAAAGTCTGAAGCCGATTTAAAGTGAAAGCCGAACACTCAGCGCCACAGTAGCGGAGCATGGTCTTGGCTCGGAAACCTGAAAAGAAAACTCGAAACTACTCTTGAAATTTCAGTCCACGCTGAGCCCTACTGCTTTCCTCATTCGCACTAACAAAATGGTACATGGTTAGATGTCTCCTCCCGTTTCATCGCCATGAACTGACTGTACAGTAACGCAGTACCCTCACAGGAATCCATGAAGAGTTACAGCCGCAGAAGTAAATTAGTCGATTGGGTATAGCGAAGGTATCACCGATTTAAGGAATCCCGGCTCATAAACCATACGAGAACGGTGCTGAGCGGTTTGTTAACGATTTTCTAGATTAGTCACCCTGGCGCAACCCTAGCTTTTGACCATTCAATTCCAGCTGTGGCCAGGTCGGCCCATTCCGTGACTGCGTATTCAGTACTGGTAACTTGTCACGAGTTTAGTTCATTCACCAACACTTTCACTTTTCTATCAGTAACATACCGGCTTTCTTTCCTGGTAGCATACTCACTTTCTTCACTGGTTATGAAGGGCAGAAATTTGTTTTTTTTTGTTCGCTGTCTACAGTTTACTATTTTTATTTACTTCCTTCAGAACGGACGTGACAATGCACGAGTTGTACTTACAAGTGCGTCATGACGTTATCGAAGAGCGGATACAGCCACGACGAGACGCAGCGTACGAGTTGGCCGCCTTGGCGTTGCAGGCTGAATTTGGCAATCGGCCACCACCGGTCATCGTGGACTACTTCGACAATCAGCACTACCTTCCTCATGTAAGTGAAGGAGATTCATTGTTTCGTACAGCTCGGGGCTGGAATTCGTAGTCGTGCACTTGTACGACGTACAACCGTTGCAATGTGCTTGCATGTTCAGAAGGTACGAGTTTAGGACTTGTAATGAATCCGCCAGTTCGTGCACAGAGTGCTTAAAATCCGCTAATTCGCGCACATAATACAAAGGGGACCCGTCGATTCGATCACAGAGGCACAGAGCACGGTTGAAACTTACGGATCCGTGCTGCGAGTACAGTTTTGAAAGCCGCTGACTCGTGCGAGAGGAGGATCTTTGAGAACCGTTCACTCTAATCACAAGGGGAGGTTTTTCAGCGTGGCCGCCTGTCAGAAATGGTTTGTTGCATGTTGTAGGGTCCATATAAAGGATAAGGATAAGGTCTGCCGTTGATCAATCCTCTTGTGGGATGCGGCACGCATTCTACTTCCATTCAGAATCGTAGTGGCTTATTGAATGCGATGTGGCCTATACAATGACTTGCGGGGCCAGCCGATGTACAAGTCAGTGTTCTTATCCTCCCAGACGAATCTGGTACCAATTTACCGTCCCCGGAGGGTAGAAGGCTTGGTTGGCCTGGGCGGGTGTCGACCTGGGATTCGAACCCAGGACCGCGCGAGTGGTAAGCGCGCCACTTGTCACTACACCACCTCCGCCGGGTCAGTGTCCAGTGATAAGGTATCAAAAGATATGGGTTTCGATTTTTGCTATGACGCTTTCTGTGGGAGTCGAAGAATGGGGTGAAAAGTTTGCGAGGGGAAGCGAATTGCGAACATTTTTCTAGCTCTTCATATTTCTAATTTCGCATCATGTATATAGTAAATGAACCTTCGCAGCACGATTTGAAGACTGGTTACAAGTCCAAGGTGAAAAAAGTACTTATATTTTCACACAGTGAGTAGCATTGCCAGTTTCTCAGAGTGGATTCTCGCAGACCCCGCAGTTAGGGTGTGGGCGGTATTCAAAGCATGTGTTGGCCTCCAAATGACCTAGGCGCCAGTTATAAAGGTCAGAACCGTGATCAGGGCCGTCAATAACCTCTATATACAGACTTTCAGCGAAAATTTTCTCCTCGAGCTGAGCACTAAAGCCATCGCGGTGCGGGTTGACAACAATTCAGTGCAAGAATGCTCTTGCAGCAAATCGGCGATAGGCTGCGCCGTGGTCAAAAATGAGTGTCGTACTCGTGAGTAGGGTATCCAGTCATCCCCGGAGCCCAACTTTCAGCAAGAGTTTCTCTAATTGTTTCGGAGTCGCAATAGTTATGGTAGGTCGACTCGTGAAGTTTTGATGTACAGAATGAGCTCTTAAATGGCATATATCCATGTTATATACATCACCACGCACGCAGGAACACAAGGAGACAGAAATCCGAAAAACGCATAAAGTATCCGAATATGCAAAAAATCCGGCGCCAAGAACTTCCGATTCCGCAAACCTTCTCAGTAAGAGCCGACGCCATTATCACTCCGCATTCGCCGATCAACTGTCATGGTTGCGGGGAGTCGGTTTGAGAGTACTTAGCAATTACCTTTCTCCATGGGCACTTTCTCTTTTGATTTATTTGCCTCTTCGATACATAGTGGAAGGAACACCTTCAGAAACTGAAGCTCACTCTCAAAGTTACAGCTACAACAGAGCCCAATAAGACGGTTAAAATCGCCCTTTCTTGTCAAATTGTTTTCACTCAGTTTTTGACCTCCCCAGAAACGCATAGCAAAAATGAAACCCATTTTTGTAATCCTTGTATGGACCCCTACAACAACGACCTGAAAGACCTCCCTTGTCTGTAGAGTTGAAACACCTAATCATACCCGCGATCATAGCACTGTTCGAAGTCGCTTTCGTGCAAAAAAACACAATTGACGTTTCCTGAATCGTGCATAGGGCATAGTTCATTGAAATCCGGGGACGTATGCGGAATTTTGTCATAATCTCATATCGAAAACAACTTATTATCGGGTGCAGGAGTACAAGGCCGGTAAAATGCAGAGAAAATACAAAATTTTGTTGCGATAAGTCAAATAAGGCAAAATGGGATATGCAACCCGAGCGAAGGGAAAGGAGGGTTAGCGGTGAAGAGCAGTGGCCAACAACAGTGCTAGCTCATACAGACACAATCTTACCAGAGCTCCAGTTGCAGGCTTGGTATCTTTGCCAACATTGCCGATGTCCATCGCATATCCTTTATCAAACGTGGCTCAATTTTTCATTCCCTAGCTTCCCGGAAACTGTATGCCTTGTTTTACATCCGCTAAGTTAGACTGATCTGTTTCAGCGCTACTGCAATCTGGACGATCCGAAACATCTTCAAGCAGTTCTTGCCGAAATGCATGGACACTACTCTGGGACCAAACCAACAATTGCCGAACATAAGTTCATACAGGTAGCTTTTCGAAAACGGTTATGCACTAGAATGGGGTGCACGTAGGGCCGCACTTCAAGGTGTTGAACCCGAAAGTGGTACAGGGTTGTCCGCTGAGGTCCTGTCGACTTTCACTCACACAGGCAGAATAATGTGGTTCGTCGTTTCGCCTGAAGAGAAGTGGACGGGCCACTTCACTTTTTTTAGCAAGCACTTGGCCCTTTCTCTTTTTTTTCTTCTTTCTTATTTGGCCCTTCTAGTTATCTGGTATTACTGTTAGGGTGAAACTGTTAGGCTTCGAAGCTGCTTATTTCCAT